TGTTTCAGCTTAAGCTCTTGTCAAATTAAAAAAAAAAAAAAAGGCCTATATTGTCAATAAGTATTTGAGTTGGTAAGTCTGGACAAATACCATTCTAGCAGCCCACTCCCAAGGATGCTTTCCTTTGCCAACCCCCATTTCCCGGTGTGCCATGCTCACAAGGAGTCCATTCAGAACTAGGGAACACCCACTTGAGGCAGGAAGAAACTGCAGTTCATCTCACGTGCCACAAAGCTCTCAAGCATCCAAAAAAAAAAGCTCCTTTCATGAACTCTTCTTCCTGGCAAAAAAGAGTATCCATTGTTCTCAGGGGAACAATGAGGTAGCCCATGCCAGCAGCTGAGAGCAGTCTCTGACAGGGCTGTTCCCAGCCTGCCGACATCTTGGGCTGAGGAAAAGTCTACATTGTCTGCAAGCAAGAAGGCTGAAGAAAAGTGGGGATGAAAAGCCACCCCCAGAGGCTGTACCAGTGAGCTATCTGAGAGGGCTCTACAGGGGTAGCCTTGTCTTTCAGGTGACAGAAAGGTATTTCTTCCCTGCTATCCTTTTTGTTTTGTTTTTCCAGACAGGGCCTCACTCGGCAGCTGAAGCCGATCTCAAACTGAAGGAACTCTTCCTTCCCATTAGGATTAGAGTCATGCTCCCTACCACACCACACTGACTCCTCCCCAGTTATCCTAACGAGGAGGTACTAGGCCTAGTTGCTGCAGGATATGCAGGACTACCGCAATGGCGGGCTGGGCCACAGAAAGACCTGGCAGCTGGAGACTCTCCATGATGGGTCTGGAGTGGCCCGGCCCCAACACCTGTGCCACTGTGCAGAGGCTTTGAGAGTCCAAACAGGTTGGAGGTGGAAAGGAATCTTTGCTCCCTCTGCTAGCTCCTAAATATTTAAAAGTTTACTAGGTGAGAGGAGGCAGCATACAAAATAACAAAATGTGAGATTTTCAAGCATGTGTTCATTACTGAGGATCTGTTTGTTATATTCTGTTTTATAGACACTCTATAGCCCAGGCTGACCTTAAGCCAGTCTCAGCCTACCAAAGTGCTGGATCATAGGCAAGTACTATGCTTGGTGCCCAGGACAGACATTTAAGAAGACAGGGTTTGTGGAAGGAAAAACTGCTTTCACCAGATGGAGAAAGAGGCTCAAATAGTTGAGAAGATGTTCATACTGGATCTGAAAGAGGACAGCACCAAGAGGGGAGGAGGAAAGAAGGAGCCGAGGCCTGGAGTAGGCCCTACGCCAAGAATAATTAGAACAGAAAGGGGCAGTAGATGAGGCTAGGGTAAGACACAAAGAGCAAAGGGGAAAGAAAGGAAACCTCAGGACAGATCACAGGGGTCTCCAACCTAAATACAGACCAATTAATAGGGGGTGGGTTTGAGCAGATTGCAAATGATTAAAACGTCTCTTGCGCCGGGCGGTGGTGGCGCACGCCTTTAATCCCAGCACTCGGGAGGCAGAGCCAGGTGGATCTCTGTGAGTTCGAGGCCAGCCTGGTCTCCAAAGCGAGTACCAGGAAAGGCGCAAAGCTACACAGAGAAACCCTGTCTCGAAAAACCAAAAAAAAAAAAAAAAGTCTCTTGCTTTAGTAGAAACGACTGAGAGGGTCAAGAACATAGATAAGGAACCCTGAGAAGCAATGAGCAAAGGATACTTGGGAAACGGGCAGTAGGTACTATTGTCAGACATGATTTGGAGGTTATCCTAAACAAGCATCTTTGGCAGTAAGATCTAAAATACTATTGTTGGCTGTTGTTTGTTTGTTTGAGACAGAGTCTCATGTATTTAAGCTGGCCTCAAATTTACTATGTTAGCCAAGGATAAGCTTGAACTCCTAACCTCCCTGCCTCCACCTCCCAAGGACTGGGATTATAAACATGTGCCAACATACTTGGTCTAAAATGTTCCTTATATAAGGCATGGTGATGCCCCACTTTAACTGGAAGACAGAGGCAAGCAGATCTCTGTTGAGGTTGAGGCTAGCCTGATCTACATAGTGAGACCCTGTTTCATACAAAGGAAAGAAAAATGACCTTATAGGCAACAATAATATACTGGACAGCCACTAAAAATTACATCCACAATGAGTATTAAAAATTATGGGAGAGCGGGCGCCTTTAATCCCAGCTCTGGGGAGGCAGAGGCAGGTGGATCTTTGTGAGTTGGAGACCAAGCCTGGTCTACAAAGAGCATTCCAGAACAGCCAGATCTGTTTGTTACACAGAGAAACGCTGTCTTGAAAACAAAACAAAACATGGGAGAAAACTCAAGCTACAACAAATGAAAGAAGGTTAAAAATATACAATCAGAGCCAGAGAGATGGCTCAGTGGTTAAAGATTATTGTCTTGCCACTAAACCTGATGATCAGAGTTTGATCCCCAGGACCCGCATGGAAGAGAGAACAAACTCCTTTGATTTTCACACAAGATCCATGTCATACATGCCCCCGCCACACACACAAATGTAATTTAAAAATAAGGGCTGGAGAGATCAGTTAAGAGCACTTTCTTCTTCCCACCATTTGGGAGGCAGAGGTGGATCTTTGTGAGTTCAAGCCAGCCTGGTCTACACTGTGAGGTCCAGGCCAGCCAGTGCTACGTAGTAAAACCCTATCTCAAACACAAAACAAAACAAAAAACCCACAAAACCTCACCAATGTAACTGCCCAAATGTGAGCTGAACAGGGACACCACCAATGGACATCCCAAAAGTGCATGGGGAAAAGTCCAGGAGGCCTCAACCCTGTACAAAGAACTAAAGTCAACTGAGGAAGCTGGGGGTGGGAGGACGAGCACACCACACCAACTGGTGGTCTATTGCCAAATGGTCAGCCCTGAAAATGTTTATATAAGGAACATTATACAGCCTGAATGGGTTATATGTAGGAATATATATGCACATACATATACATGTACGTATGTAATAACAGTAAGTGAAAGGAGACCACGAATTTGAAGGAGTGGAGGGAGGGGTGTATGGGATGGTTTGGAGGGAAGAAAAGGAAAGGAAGAAATACTGTAATTATTTCACAACTCAAAAAAGGAAAAAAAGAAAAACCAACAAAAGGACACCTTATTTCTCTTACAGAGGACCCAAGTTCAGTACCCAGCACCCATGTTGAATGGCTCACAACCACTTCTAACTCCAGCTCTTACGGATCCAACACCCTCTTCTAGCCTCCTCCAGTAGCCCCACACACTTGGCATTCACTCACACAGACACATATGTAAAAATAAGTAAACCTTGGGTCTATCTAAAATATCTGTTTATATGTAGTAAGTCCACCTCTTAATAAGCAAAGAAAATGGTAGAAACCACAAGAAAGTTTTCTTTCTCTTCCACATACTTTGCAAGCCTATGTAACTCTTAAAAAATGTTTTTAGATTTATTTATTTACTTTATTTCATGTGTATGAGTGCTCTGCTAGCATGTATGTCTGTGCACCATGTGCATGCCCTCAGAGGTCTGAAACTGAAGTTACAGAAGGTGGTTGTAAGTCGCCGTGTAGGTGCTAAGAATTTAATCCGGGTCCTCTGCAAGAACGAGTGCTCTTAAGTGCTGAGCCCATCTCTCAACCCCTATGCTAGTTATTATAATGAAAAACAATTCTTTTAACGTAGACTTTTCAGCCAGGTTGGTAGACACTTATAATTCCACCACTCAGAAGGCAAAGGTAGGAGGGTCGTAGTTCAGAAGCCAGGAAGACTGTCTCAAAATAAGTAGTAAATACTTTTTCAAGCTTGTTTTATACCGGCCAGGAAGTCACAGCTCCAAGAACAAGGTCAAGCAAGCCTTGCATTTCCAAATCCTCAATCCATAGAGCCCTGGTTCTTAAGAGTGGGATGGATTTTCTTACTGTTGTTCAATGCTAAGGAATCAAAACGAGAGTCTCATGTGTGCTAGACAAGTGTTCCATCGCTTAACTACACCCCCAGCCCTTCATGTGTTTTCCTACAGGCTAATCAGCTACTAAATTGTCTGTTCTCCAGAGATAAATATGCTCAGACAAAATCCTGTTTTCCCAGTAAAAGCTCTTTATGTCCCTGGTGAGTAAGCTTGTTACATGTCTCTACCAGCTACTGCAAGTATCTAGCTCACTGTATCAGTTCAAGACACTTTTGATCAAAATTAATCCATGTAAAACATTCCAATAACCATTGGAACAAAGGCAACCAATTGCAGGGTTTGGACATGCAGAGGGTCCTATCAAAATCTAGGCAACAATGTATCCTTCAGAACTGCACTCCTTGCTGGGGTAGAAAGTTCTACAGAATTCATCTGTTACATGAGCTAGAGCCTTCACAAGTACAGAGAATGAGTCCAGAGGGGAAAGAGAGCACAAAGGGGGTGAAGGAGACTAGGGCCACCCAGATCAAAGGGAAAGGAGCAACAGACCGACCTCTCCATGGGACACTCAACCTAGAAGCCTGGGTTTGTGTGTCGGAAAGGACACACCTGAATTTGTCAAACTTTCAGCCGAAAGCCTACGGTGACAGTGACAGTGGGCTGTGGTGGAGAAACGGCCCAGTAGTTAGGTGCACGTGGTGTTTCTCCCAGAGGACCTGACCCAAGCTCTGTTACTAGCATGCACACGGCAGCTCATAACCATCTCTAACTCCAGTTCCAGGGAAACCAACATTCTCTTCCGATTTCAGGGGCACAAGGCACACACATGGTGCACGTGCATACATGCAGGCAAAACAGACACATAAAATTTTTAAAAAGAAAAAAAAAAAGCGCTACTGGGCAAGTTTCCAAGCATAGGCCTTAAGAGACTGAGAGTTCCAGGTGGGAGTGATGGCCCAGTGAGTCTGACAGCTGCTTTTAACCTCTGCAGGCACCAGGCATACATGTGGTACTCACACATGCATGTGAGCACTTAAGCCAGCCCCATCTCAATAAATAAATAAAATACAACAAGAAAGGAAAAGACATCAAAGCAAAAATGGAAGACGGACTCTTCCTCACTCTTGTTTTCATATGCAGTCTCACCTTGATCACTTCTCCGCTGGAGGCAATTAAATCTGTTGGAATGCTCACTCGAAATGAGCGCCCAACAACAGCCGTGCCATCGGGAATGCCAACCACAGTGGGAACAGTCTCATGGAAGTCTGAGAGTACTGAGTGCATGGATGCCTCAAGCTGGTTCTTCCAGTCCCTCACAGCCTCTGAGGGTTCGCTGGGCCAGTGGGACTGAGCCATAGCCACAGAGAGTAGGAGAAGAAAGGTCCTTCCCCAGAGGGGGTGCAGGAGCCAGATGCCTGCAGACATCCTCATCCCAGGGTGGTGTTTGCTCAAGCCAACAGTCGCTAAGGAGGGAAGCCAACGATGCCGTCCCAGGTTGGGTCCTCACCCTCTGCACACTCGCTCCATCCCAGAGCACCCAAACCTGAAAAAGAAAAAGAACAGATTCAGACGGCAGCAATGCTGCTGATTTCAAGACTGCACACTTACAAGTGTTCTGCTGAAGGAGAAGCCGCTTCCTCCTGGGCTCTTCAGCAACATGCAGCTACTTCACTGAAATGACTGGTTTATTAAGTGTAAAATAACGTTGAAGTTTGAAATTTTATATAAAAATAAAATGTAAAACACCTCATTAATAATTTAAAGGGATTGATACATATTGAAACCACAGAATGTTGAATCATATACATTATTAAGTCAAATGAATTAATATAAAAATCTACAAAGTACAAATTACTGAAATTAATTTCATTTGTTTATTTTGTTGTGGGAGAAGAAAAAAATTAAATTTCTAAAGACATTTGGTTCCCATTATCTGTCTGCTAAGTAGCACTGCTCTTCAGGACTTTCCTCCAGGTTGACAGTAAATAAAGTAAGCTGAGAACAAACACATGCCCAATGTGGACACTCCACAAGACAGCTGACCTAGGCTCTCCAACACCAACATCCCGAAGGGCCACTGCCCGGGTTCAGAGACAGTTACTATATGCTATGTGCATCCTGACTGAATTCCAGAATAACTTCAAAAAATAGACCAAAAACAACAACAACAAACCACAAACAAACAAACAAATACCCAAAGCTGAACTGGAGAATTTGCATATTGGCTGAAGATTAGCTTTACTGTTATTCTGTAGGTGACAAGATGATGATGGTGTGGCTCCATAAAGAGTCATCCTAAATCCTAAATCTTCTGAGTAGTATTTGGAAGTGTTTATGGATGAAATGTCACAAAGATTCTTTACTCACTTTGAAGTGCTTCAAGGGAGAAAAATGTTCACCTGTATTTATAGAGATGAGCCATGTAACAAATTAAAGGCACAGTGAGTTCTAGAAGATACAAAGTTAGTTTGGAGCCTGGCGGTGCTGGCGCACGCCTTTAATCCCAGCACTCGGGAGGCAGAGGCAGATAGATCTCTGTGAGTTTGAGGCCAGCCTGGTCTACAGAGCGAGATCCAGGACAGCCAGGGCTATCTATCAAAAAAAAAAAAAAAAAACTGTCTCAAAAAACAAAAATCCAACAGTTTTGAAAAGATAAACACTTAGTATCTACAAAAAGTAATGTAGCAAGTGTCAACTCTCAAATCCCAAAAATTACCCACAGGACTTGTTTACTGAGTGCCTATCTGCAGCCCTGTGCCAGTGAACAAAACTTCCTGGTCTTTCTTCCCCTCCATTCCTAGTAGTCACACTGAAAACCTGTATGCTGTCCTTCTCACCTTCCTTAGAGGCTTCAGTAGCTTAGGACCTACTTTCTCCGAGCTAGCAGTCACACAGATGACATCTTGTGGGGCCTGGTGGGTGCTCTCAGGTGACCACAGACGTGAGCAATTTCCCACTAGAGACAAAGAGTAACACCTGCTGCTAACACCATGCTGGGGGTGGTCTATCCATGCATGCTCCTGTGTGTGCAGGTGTGTGCGGCACTTTTTAACCTAGGTAATGCACAGTCAATAAACAAACTTGTTATGGAAAACAAGGCCACTGACGAGGTACACTGAAGGCAAGGCAAGTGGGGCTTCTGCTAGTTTAAATTTTGCTATTAATTTCTGATCCTACACCTTTTAGCTGAAATTAAAGAGGTATCAAGTCCAACCCCCTGCCCTCAAATGAAACAAAGCTGGGAGTCATATCCAGTTAAACATAAAGCTAGGATGTTTAAGGATGTTAGACAATGGACTAGAACCAGAGAATCTCAAACAAACTTGCAAGGCACCAGGACAAGCAATCATCTAAGCAAACAACCAAAGTTAAGTTCCTCCCTCAGTTCTCTATACACACAAGATAAACAAATACGCTGGGGGTGGGGGTGGGGGTGGTGGTGGTGGTGGTGGTGGTGGTGGTGGTGGTGGTGGTGGTGCACGCCTTTAATCCCAGCACTCGGGAGGCAGAGCCAGGAGGATCTCTGTGAGTTCGAAGCTAGCCTGGGCTACAAAGTGAGTTCCAGGACAGGCTCCAAAGCTACACAGAGAAACCCTGTCTCGAAAAAACCAAAAAAAAAAAAAAAAAAAAAAAAAAAAAGATAAACAAATACAATGTAAAAGGAATGACTTAAGAACCTTTAGAACACAGTAAAACACCATGGAAGGACTTCATTTAAAAAGACATTAGACTGCATAAAACATTTTAAAGGACAATTAACTGGGACTCCTCCATGAAGAGCACTTGTTCTTGCAGGGGTCCTGAATTTGGTTCCCAGCACCCACTTCCAACCATCCATAACTTCCATTCCAGGGAATCTGACACCCGCTTCAGGCCTTCACGACATACCAGGCATACACATGGTGTACATACATACATACATACATGCAGGCAAACATCCATACACATAAATCCTTTTGTTTGTTTGTTTTGTTTTGAGACAGAGTTTCTCTGTGTAGCCCTGGCTGTCCTGGAACTGCTCTGTAGTCCAGGCTGGACTTGAACTCAAGAAATCCACATGCCTTTGTCTCACAAGTGCTGGGACTAAAAGTATGTGCCACCCCACCCCATCCCAACCCCCACACAACCCAAATACCCAGGCTTACATAAATCTTTTTTTTTTTTTTTTAAAGATAATTAATTGGATCTCTGGGGAAATGAAGTAGACATTGTTTTCCCCAATACTTCCCACAAAATACAATTAAGAATCCTGTATGTTACATGTAAAGTCAATGAGTCTAACAAGTGAACAAAGGGCAAAATCAGTTACAGAACTCAGGATCCCCAGAGTGGTGGGAGCCCTTGAGTTTTCTTCCGCCCTGTGTATTTTTTCCTGACAGTGGAACTCAAACAGTCAGAAGCTTTGGGGTTTGGGATTTTTCCTTCCTTTGGTCCTTCCAGGAGTCGGACACAGGCTTTGCACATTCCTGGCACGTGTTTCACTGCTGAGCCATTCCGCAGCCCAGCAACACTAGAACCAGGCCTGGACCACCAAACTCAACTTTTCTTTTTCTTAATTTTTCTTTTCACCTTTATTCATTTTATTTTATTTTATTGAGATAGGGTTTCTCTATGAAGCCCTGACTTTCCTAGAAACAACTATGTAGATCAATCTGGCTAGCCCAGAACTCACAGAGCTTCTCCTGTTTCTGCCTCCTGAGTGCTGGGATTTAAGGACTGCACCACCACACCCAGCTGATTTATTTTATATGTATGAGTGGTTTGCCAACATGTATGCCCTTCCTTGAAGGTCAGAAAAGGACTTCAGATCCCCTGGAGCTGGACTTATGGATAACTGTGAGCTGCCAAGAGCTGCAAGTGCTTTAAATTACTAGTCCCTCCAAATTTTTTTAAATCATAAAAATATGGAAGAATATGTGGTGTTGACAAACCTGGAATGCAGATACTCAGGTATGTGTGACATTAGTCTGGTTTCTACTGGTTCGTATGATGATACAAACTAAATCTTCAGTTGGGTGTGGTGGTGCACTCCTTAAATCCCAGCACTCAGCAGGCAGGAAAGGAAAGAGAACAGGCACAAGTTCAAGCCCAGCAAATCTGCCAGTGCTATGCAGCAAGACTCTCAAAGAACAAAGCAAGGGCCAGTGAGATGCCTCAGTGAGTAAAGATTCATGTCACCAAGCCTAATAACCTGAGTTCTGTCACCAAGCCTAATAACCTGAGTTCAACCCCCAGATCCCCTATGCTAGGAGAGAACTGATACACACACACACACACACACACACACACACACACACACACACACACACCGAACATGCAGTGAGGTGAGGGATTAATTACTTAATTAAAAAACATAGGCTAGGCATAGTGGCACAGGCCTATCCCAGCACTGAGAAGGGGAGCCGGAGGACTATCCTTGACTATACAGGGAGTTGGAGGCCAGTTTTGTTTATTACCTTTGGCCTTGAATCTCCCATTTTTGTGTGAGTATTGGGAAAATTTTGAAATGGTAACTAAAACCCAAAACCCAAATCTCAACATCTGGATCTTCTGGCCTATTTATTCCACCTTCCTTATCATCCTATCTCTCTGTCCACTTTCTTCCTTTGTGTCCCACTCTCCTGCCCTAACCCTGCCCCAGTTGCTGGGCTGGGTATGCTGGCTCAGCAGTAAAGTTCTTGTCTAGTATTCGCAAAGCCTGTGCTCAACTCCTGGAAGCACCCAGGGGAAAACTCAGGATTGGGCGTGCACCTAGTGGGTAAGTGGGGAGGAGAGAAGCCTTCTTATTTTTATTTTTCCAACTTTTCTCTTTAATTTAGTTCATTTACTTTTCCATCTATTAAGTCCAATTGATCTTTTACTTTCCTAATCTGATTCTCAATTTTAAATTCTTTTAATTTGAAAAGAGCACTGCTTATAATTCACACCCTTCCCCACTAAAAGCATAAGCTCAGTCTACTTACTATCTGTGGTCCCATGACGACATGGGGTGTGTGTTTCACAGGCATGACTAAGTGCTCTGCATTTAGCAGTCAGGCAATGTCCAGGGCACAACTCCAACTACTATGTGCTGATTTTCCATGCTCTAGGGAGAAAAGATAGTCTCTGCAACTTGGAAAAAATCAGCCTGTGTATCTCTGATGCTGGCTTTCTATAAGCAAGGGTCATGCCTGCCTGCACTTGACACCTCCTAGATTATAGCTACCTATCTAACGAGACAGGGTTTCTGCATAACAGTCCTGGCTGTCCTGGAACTCACTTGATAGACCAGGCTGGCCTCAAACTCACAGAGATCTATCTGTTTCTGCCTCCCAAGTGCTGAGATTAAAGGTATGTGCCACCACCACCAGGCAATTCTTTTTTTTTTTTTTTTTTAATATTTCTTTATTGAGGAGAGGGTATATGCCACAGCATGCATATGGAAGTCAGAAGACAACTTTTTAGAGTCTCCTTCTATCATGTGGGTCCCAGGATTCAAGATTAGTCAGATTGACACCAAGTGCCTTTACCCATCAAACCATCTTACTATCTCTAGAAAAAAAA